TACATAACTATTAAAAAAGGCATTTTTTGTTGTTTCCTTGCTGAAAGGCTACAGAAATTTTCTATGATTAGATAAAGTAATCCCTTGAATTATATCTACCACAAATCCTAAATCTTCTATCTCTAGCTTTTCACAGTCTGTTTTCTAATGAAATTTCTGACTAAGGATCCCCTCTTTTCATTCATGTCATTGAAAACTTTTATTACTGATCTGAAAAGAGTAGAAAACTCAACTTACTGCTGTACTGGTATTTTTTATTTTGTGATTTGAAGTAGGGAATGATGAACAAGTGTGACTAAACCAAGAATGGATTCTTCTAGTGCAAATTAATCTTTCCGGTTTCAGTCATGAATGAAGATTAAAGTGCTAAATTTTTAAAAGAAAGAAGATTTCTAACTGAAATGGAACAGGCATTTTCAAAAATCATCAGTGTGTCCCTTCTTATATACCTGTAATCTCAGTATCATATGACAGTTCAGATAAAAATCTAAAATCTGCAAGCCTACTCCAGCACTGAGACTTAGTGATAATTTATTAGGGGGAAGCAGGAGGGAGGAGTGATAAGAAGGTAAGGCTAACTCATTACCTAGGCTTTATCTGTGTATATTACACATTAACTTTTGCAGGTGTGATTTAGAGATAGGCTACGTTTTTCATATTGTTTTCATTTCCATGGAATGAACCTGTAGAATAAAATCCAATAAAAACATGAAAGCCATTGTGGGTTTCATAATTAAAAAAATTAAATCATTGAAGTTCAGCTCTTGTTGTAATGATACTAATTGTTAGCAATTGTTTTTATTTGGTGAAAAATCATGAAAGGATTAGTTTTACAAGTTCTTAGCATTCTGAATATAGTTTTATGTGTCTTCTTCATTACTGAGTGTGTTTTTCAGTAGTAGACATTACACATTGTTTGGTCAGTCTGCAGTAGGAGCAGTTCAAATGACTTTCTGTAGCTTGTTTTGAAAGTAAAGCTTCATGAAATTTTTCATAGATGCCTTTTAACACAGGAATGTTCTGGCTGGCTTTGCTGATTAAGATTCTTAGGCTTTTCTGTACAGGAAAGTTTCTTGGATGCAGAGAGATGTGTGGGCAACTTGCTCAATGTTGACTTTACTACTGCTGAACTTGCAGTTCTCTGGTATCTACTATCAAAGGGTCACGTACAGTCATTCTTGCTCAAGCTGAAATTAGTTGTCCTGTTTGTGGTGTAGAGTGCTATACAACATAAATAAAAGTATTCAGTGACTCTCTTGGTTAATGAGTCAATTATTTTGGCTGCTGAGTGGGTGAATATGCTTAATCAAATCAAATTCTGGAATAGCGTAAAAATAAAAATAGGAAGCAAATATTATCTGCATTTGTATTTATTGCACCTCTACTACCAAATAACCCTATTTCTTACCCATTTAAGGAAAGTAAACTATATTATAGGCATATGTTTAATATCTTCTAAATAATTTGTATTTCTAATATCTTTCTAATAATTTGTAGCTTGCATTGATTTCTCAGTACATTGTGGCATTTGACTTTAAAAGGCAGTACATGAAGTAAAACAATCATATAAAACTATATGTATCCAATGCCTTTCTTCTGCCGTATAAACAGTGCAAATAATGCATATAATGAAATTCAGAATATAGCCTGTAACCATTAAAAATAAACAGTTTACACCAAGCTGTGAAGAATAATACTGTGAATAGGATTTATTCAACAAATTCAATACACCGTTGAAGTTTCAGTACAAAGTGATGCTCACTGAAAACTACTACCATGCTGTCATTCTGCTTATTCCTTAAAGATAATTCATTATTCTGCCATAATGTATTGGCCATAAAAGTAAGCGTATTTCGAAAATAATGCCATATTGTGGAAATTGAGTTTGATTTCCAAATCAGCCACTCCTTTTAAGATGAGAAAATGTGCTAAATATTTTATTTGCCAGTAACTCCTCTATTCCCTGTCCAATATCAAATCAACTTCTTTATTCCAGTGAAGAAGCTGGGTTTATTCAGAAAAATATTTAATGATATGCTGAGCTATGAGCACATGCACATTTCTGGGGAAGTGAGATTTTTGTGCCTGCTTAGAATGAATGGAGATACAAATGTACCTAAATTCCTCCAATGAATTCAGGGCTTTTGAAAGGATCTCATAGAGGGGAAATTTTTATATAATCCAACTTTTTCATAACTCACTTAAAGCATGCACCTGAAAAAAAAGAAGGAACTTTATTAATCCTTGACTCAAGCAAGGTTACACATATTACAAACAAAATGAACAAAGTAATCATCTTCCCGAAATTACACAGCTTGATGAAATGAAGGGGAAGAGGAAACTTTTAATTGATCCCCACAGGCTGCTTCTGGTGAATGGCTGATGCCTGCCCTGACTCACAGGCTGATCACCATTCCCTTCCCATGCTGGTCTGCTAAGCAGCACATTTAGCTATAGTCCAACATGTTCATCCTTTTGACTATTTATTTATTTACTTGCTTGGAAAAGCCAGAAGGCAAATGTGAAACAGAGATAGAGAATTAGGTCAAGAAACTAATGGGATAATATTATTTGCTGCTGTCTGCAATATTGACTAAAAGTCTTGTCTCTTGCTTATTAGAAATGGTTATAGGGCAGGCTGTCTTGCAATATTCATGTTTCCTGGCCTAGGTGCGACTATCGTGTCACGTATCTCTAACTTTTGCCAGGCATGATGTGAAGAATATTTTCCACCTCTTCTAACATCAAAAAAATGGGAAAATGAATGTTGGCATGCAATTTTTCTAAACTTTTCAGTGGATTTGTAAATGAAGTCTCTCTGAAACCTAGTTGCAATTTACAATGAATGTGTATGTTTATCCGTTAAAGAAGGACAAAGTCTTGTCTCAGTAATATGAATGTAATAAAAGAGAAAAATTGTATCATGTTATAGTTAAACGTCTTTTCTTTTAAATGTGAATAACAAAATCTCCTGTTTTAATGTAACTTGCCTGCATAACAGAATGTCCTACATAAGTAAAAAGGGTACAAAACTTAAGGTCTATTTTAGCCTTCTTACAGCTATAGGATATCACCCTTTTTCAACAGTTGCATTGCTGAAGGACATGTATCAGCTTGATTTATCAGCTCTGTATTTGATAATAACTTTTGAATGCTCACATTTGGACCTTACTTTTTCTGGAGCCACCAAAGGACCCTTTTACAAAGGTGGCTTCTGTACAGGGGCAGTTTCTTATCCTTTCTGTGCCATCAGTCTTAGTTACACCAGCTGGACAGGGATGTTAGGATAGAGAGAGAAAGTGGTATCTCTGCTAAAATGACAAGTACGTAGAGCTAACTGTTCCAAGCTCCTTGCATAGTACTCGTGAAGAAGCTATATTCTATTTTTAAAGGACCTGTTGCCATTCTCTGTGAAAATAGAGCTAGTTTGAATTTGGGAATGTGTGGGAATAATTTTCTCTGCAAGTGCTTTTAGGAAGGGTCTTAAATACTATTCCCTACCCCTAAAGAATATTGTTTATATTGCTGGGTATAATTACCTGTAGTGCAGGGACAAAGCATGTATTGTAAACCTTAAAAATTTTAACAAATTAGATGTCATCAGTGTAGTACTACACTTTTAATTACAATGAAAGGCAACCACTTATGACATCAAATGATCCCATTGATATCACAATATTAAAATGTCCTATGATCTGCACATGTTAACACCTGTAGCAGCTGAATGAGTTTTAGAATTGTCTAAGACTGAGGCAATGCTGCCGCCTAATGATGGGAGTATATAAGACACAGTATAGTAAAGAGTTTCTTGCTCGGCAAGCAGGCTAGGTTTGTGACATCAGTTGAAGTCTGTAAGTGAAATCAAAAGCAACAAAAATTGGCCCATAGACTAGATTATGTGATTTCATGGCATGCCAGGCCATTTATTTGGTTCAAACTTAAAAGAAAAAAAAAAAAAACCAAACACCAAAAAACCTGTAACCACTTAAAGTCTGTAAAGTTTATGTTTTCTGCATCTTGATGTCTGCTATGAATATAAAGAGAATGATTCTCCACTTTTCCTCCGTGTTGATAGATTTTTTTTTTGATGTTTCATCTGTTTCCTGATATTTTACAATTCCTGATATATTACAATTATGGTAATTATATCATTATAATATCTATCTTAGAATTTTTATTGTTCTCTGCAGTATCCAACTACAATTTCCTCCTTAATATTTTTAATTTCAGAAGAATAAGAAATTGCATTAATGTCTTAATTCTACATTTATCTGTGCATCATTGGCCTTCTTTATTTAGAACAGTTCAACATAGTCTAGTGGCTGAGAAGAGTATTGTTAATAGTATTATTGTCAAGCTAATTCATGGACCCATAAAGAGCAATAACATTCCTGTGAGGCATCTGCCAGTGTACTCTGTGACAGCTTGTACACCCAGCAGATCAAAATTGGATCCAGCCCTGCAGTACCTGCTCATTTTTCAATTCTTCTGGTAGATCTTTCAGTTTGTGTACTACAGTAAACATAAGAAAGCAGAGAGCTTGCTCATATTTCCTCCTGTTTTACCTATATTATCTCTTTAACATGAAATGCTATTGAAAAGGCATACAAAATCCAAAGACATTGATTTGTGCCAACTTACACTGACAAAGGATTTCATGGCAAATTGGTCAACCCTTGAATAATTATAATTTGGCAAAAAGTAATAAACTGTAATTAAGGCATTATAAAGGCATTGATTTGTTAGCATGCAGCCCATTAAATCATTATAATTGTATCATAAAATGATTAAGGCAGCAGAGTTAATGCATTTGAAGCCTGTGCTAAAGATGCATTTTAAAAAAAAATGTGCAATCATATTTCTCTTGTATGCATTCAAGTTTTTTTGTATTGTACTCCTCTCAGCTGGGCTGCCTTCCAGCAATCAGCATCTTCACAATGTGTTCACTTCAAAACAATTGTGTGAGGTCTAAATCTCTCTGTTCTGTTTCAACCCAACAGGTGCAGGAGGTTGGTCTCCATCAGACAGCGATCATTACCAATGGCTGCAGGTGGATTTTGGGAACAGGAAGCAGATCAGTGCTATTGCGACTCAAGGCAGGTATAGCAGTTCTGACTGGGTAACACAGTATCGGATGCTCTATAGTGATACGGGGAGAAACTGGAAACCGTACCATCAGGATGGAAATATCTGGGTAAGTCATTGGTGTAAAATGGAAGCATATGCTTTAGTGGTGTTGATTGACTGTGCTTTTAGGAACTGTACACCTTATATACCTTCAGTGTTGTTCTTGTGAGGACAGAACAGAGCTTAGCTCTAAACATAACAATTCAAGTTGTAGCTGCTGTCAGGAGGCCTATCCCCAGATTAGCAAAGCCCATTTGGGATGATGGTAGTTGTCAGGACATGCAGATATTTTTTGGTTGCTAGTAGTCCTCAATGAGTCTCTTATGCTTTGGCTTTCTTTTCCCTGCCTTTTCTTTTTACTAATTTCATGGAGTAAATGTCAGACACAAAAGTAGTTTTGAAAATTCTGTTCTTAAACATAACATTCTGGAAGGTAATTTGTTCTTTGTGTATATATGTGCTGGGGACCAGTTTTATCATGTATGTCTTATTTTCCATATAGAGGCTATAGGGATATTTATGCTATGATAATTTTAGCAAAAAGCATACAATTTGGTTTTGCCAGTTACATTTTTCACGGATAAGCTGCTAATTTCTTTCTTGCTGCAAACAGTAGTCTTCCATTTTGCTGACAAAGAAATGATAGCTATTACTTAACATACCTATCCTCATAGCAGTTCTTTCAGATGGTTATTCTTTTTCAAAAGTATACTTTGAAAACAACAAAATGCTATCATTCTATCTGAAACCAAATTAAATTGATTAGCTCTTATGCCTCATCAGAAAAATATTGTCAAAGCAGACAAGATGTAACATTGTGCTATTTCAGATTCACATTTTTGCCAGGTACTCCTTCTAGTTCAGGTCTGTTATTAAAAATGAATGTCAAATACAGAGCATAAAGTGAATGGTTTTACCTGTATAAGAAAAACTGGCTTAATATGTGGAGTACATAGAGGCAGTCATTTTTTATTAGTGTATTGATTTATTGAAAAAACCTTCTCCATGTGCCAGATAGGATTCTGAAAGAGTGAGAAAATAAAGCTGGGAGGGAAGACAGGAATTAGGAGGAAAACATTGGGTGCTGCTTTAGATTCCTTAGGACTTTGTGGTATGAATGTTGTTCGGGGGTGGGGGTGGGGGGAGAGGGGAGCTTATGCTTAAGCTTGATAAATATAAAAAGTTTCTCTTTTAAGATCACTTATGTATATAAAAATACTTACAGCCTTCAGTGTTTATACCATCTTAGATGTAGAAAAGCTTCAACATCTACTATTGAAATCATGAAGAATTTGTCTCAGGGAAGTGGGAGAGGATTATGCAGCTGGCTGAGTGAATGAGATCTAAAGCAAGACAGTTAGGCTGAGGAAAAATCTGTTCTTAATACCTTGAAGGGAAAATCTTTTGGCAACATCTGAGTTGGTTGATTTAGTCACAGCTGTGACTGTTTGTTTCCAAAGTAGCCCACCTTTCTGAGGGCTTTGTAGAAAGTGTTTATTCTTACATTGTTTTGTAATACAGAAATATTGAAAGCTTCTTCGTGAAAGAACATTTAATTTTTCTCTTTATTAGCAATTATGTATGATTGGTGAATTTGGGGGGAATACTGTTGGTCTGTTAATTATCATCGATATCATTTGCAAAAATGTGTGGTAAGTTATGCAGAAACTTGGTATTTCTATTTGGAATGCTAAATTTTTGGGATATACTTAGCAAGCTGTTTGCTGCAGTACTGTTACTGTTCATGTCCTGCAATTTTTATCCAATACTAGAAAAGAAGTTTAAAAAAAAAAAAAAAGATTCCTTATCCCAGCTTTCTTTTTAAGAATAAAGCTGAGCTACTAGCAAAAAAACCCTAAACCAAAACCCTAGGGGTCTTGACTCTACTTCTAACTTGCCTAAAATAACATTGTTACTATTGTTAAATGATGTCTGAGCCTTGGTTTAATCTTGAAAACACTGTGCTTATTAGCTATTAATAAGTTCCCATGTCAGAGGAGGTGCACGGAGAAATACTGTTGTGCTCTTGTAGTAGTGTTACAATGAGACAGACTTCCCTGATGTGGAAATGGGGAGGTGCAGAATTTCCCATCACATCTTCCTCTTAGTGTCACTTTGCACAAAAATTAAAAGCAGCAGAAGCTGTGAGGGCCAGATCAGACCACATGAGCCAAGTATCCAGCATTGGCAATTTAAACTCCTGAAGTCAGATTCTTCCTGACTGTGATGATCTTAAAAATCTGAAATTATTCTGGTGCCCTCAGAAATCCCTGTGGGAAGTGTTTAGTCTTTCCCTTTGGATTTGTTTTATCCACAAGAGAAATGCGCTATGTAGCCTTTGATTAATGTCCCTCTTCCATCATCCCCATGCCGGAGTGTCATTGTTTCCTGACAACAGTAAATTTAAAATTAAAGGAGAAAGCAAAGAAAAAGAAGAAAAAAGAAATGCAGAGTTCAACAATGTTTAATACTAAAACAGTTGTGATGTCAAATGACACAGCCAGAGGATATGGGATACAAGATATGGGAAACAGAAGGGAATAAAAATAAAGCTTGCTAGATGAGTTGGAGGGAGAGCAAAGGAGAAATAATTTCCAACAAAGATCTAGTTAGGAAAAAACCATGATAATGTGCATAAAATGCTGAAATGAGCCCCTTCTGTATGCATTAGTCAGGGAGGAAAAAAGTTCTATAATTATCTCCTAAGTAGGAGAGAAATCAAAAGGTTCTCAGGAAGTCTGTGATGGGAAAGTGCTTTCAAGATGAATTTAGAGTAAGCTTTCCTGTTCTGTGAAATAGATTTTATGACCCCACCCCTCCTGGGCTTCTGGATATTTTCAACTTCCATGAATTTTAATAAGATGAGTGAATGTGGCCTCTTTCCATAAAATGCCTAGCAACTAAAGAATTTTGATCACCTCTCCTACCCTTGCTCTCATAGTGTGAGATTCTAATTTTGATAGGTCATGAGGTTTCCCTTCATACGTCAATCCAGTGGAGCATTTTGTGTACATAATATATCTTTGTTTTGGTATAGATGCTCATTTTGGTTTCTACATCAACACAATCTATCTATTTGCCTAACGAATACATATCCGATGTGATTTTACACATAATACTGTTTATATTTCCTAACTCATACAGATGATGTAAATGCCTCACACTAACCGTAATACAAATATGCCCTATAGGTATAATAAGAAAATGCTGACATCTTATGAAAACATGGAGACTCAAATTATAAGCTTTAGTGGCAGAGCTGAGCACCTCTAAGATACAAGCCTTTCCTAAAGGAAACTGGCTTGGTACAACTGAAGAGGTCTTATGAGGTATCATCTTTTAAAATTTTATTACTCTAGTAGAACTTGTGATCAGCACTCATCCATCTCATTGTCTTATTCTTGGGGATATCAATGTCAGGATGATGAAGGAGAGTGTTACTGTAATTATGAGTTTCAAAACCAATCACAGGGTTGCAAGGGACCTCGGGAGATCATCTAGTCCAATCCCCCTGCTAAAGCAGGTTCTCCTAGAGCATGTTACACAGGACTTTGTCCAGGTGGGCTTTGAATATCTCCACAGAAGGAGACACCACAACCCCCCTGGGCAGCCTGTTCCACTGCTCTGTCGCCCTCAAAGTAAAGAAGTTTTTCCTCATATTCAAATGAAACCTCTATGTCTCCGTTTGTACTAGGGGAGATGCTCCAGTCCCTTTATCATCCTAGTAGCTCTCCTCTGGACTCTTTCTAGGAGTTCCTCATCTTTCTTGAACTGGGGAGCCCAGAACTGGACACAGTACTCCAGGTGGGGTCTCACCAGGGCAGAGTAGAGGGGGAGGATAACCTCCCTCGACCTGCTGGCCACACTCCTCTTAATGCAACCCAAGATACCATTGGCCTTTTTGGCAACAAGGGCACACTGCTGGCTCATGGTCAGCTTGTCGTCCACTAGGACTCCCAGGTCCCTTTCAGCAGAGCTGCTTTCCAGCAGGTCAGCCCCCAACCTGTACTGGTGCATGGGGTTCGACCTCCCCAGGTGCAGCACTCAACACTTGCCCTTGTTGAATTTCATCAGGTTCCTCTCCGCCCAACTCTCGAGTCTGTCCAGGTCCCGCTGAAAAAACAATACTGATGGGAAAGGTGGAGTGCAGACCCTTCGCACATGATGTCCAAATCATATTCTGTAGTTGACTCTTATCTTCAGCCTCAGTTGAACTTCAGTGGAGTTGCAAAGATGTAAATTAAAGCAGATTTTTCTTTTTTACAGAAAATGTAGCCCTGGACCAAGTGTCTGCTGCTTCAGTTGAAAGCAATTATGTTTTTCTGGTTTTGTTGTTGTTTTTATTTCAGTTTTAATTAAACTTAAGTGTATTATGCATAACACCTGCTTTTGTAGTATTTTTATTGCTGAAAAGATATTAAGTGATTACATAGCTTTCACTATGAAGAATGATTTTTGGAAAAGAACTTAATTTTTCTATTTACCTACTGCCTTTAAACACATTTTTTCAAATTTTTTTTAATACTGCTCATTCTATTTCTTTTTTAAGTGAAACAATCAGAAATAATCAGAGTGCCATCATGCGGCTCGTGCAGGACAACCAGGTTATCAGGCCCAGTCAGCATGGGTTCATGTAGGCAGGTGCTGCTTGATTAACCTGATATTCTATGACAAGGTGACATGCTTAGTGGATGAGGGAAAGGCTGTGGATGTTGTTTACCTGGACCTTAATAAAGCTTTTTGACACTTTCCCACAGCGTTCTCCTGGAGAAACCGGCTGCTCATGTCTTTGGGTGTGCTATTTGCTGGGTAAAAAACTGCCTGGATGGTTGGCCCAAAGAGTTGTGGTGAATGGTTTTAAAACCACTTGGCAGCTGGTCACAAGTGGTGCTCCCCAGGGCTCAGTGTTGGGGCCAGTTCTGTTTAATATCTTTATCAATGATCTGAACAAGAAGATCGAGTGCACCTTCAGTAAGTTTGCAGATGACAACAAGTTGGGTGGGAGTGTTGATCTGCTCGAGGGTAGGAAGGCTCTGCAGAAGGATATGGACAGGCTGGATCAATGGG